AATACCTAAAGGAAAAGACAATTATTTTATCAATAGAAAATAACGTGAATTCTTTTCTCGTGGCTAAATTCCATAATTGAGGAAGAATATCCTCTTTTACATGCAGTGACTAGAGCATCTCTTGCTGGTACGTACTAATTATTAATGATATGGGTTTATCCATAATATTAATATTTTCTAATTTTCTATCCAGTAAAAAGACATTATCCTAGAGTAGTTAAAATTGTATATAAATCACCTGATCAATCCAAAGTTAAAGAAAAGTAAGTGACCATTAATTTACGTGATATTCTTTATGGAATAATTACATCCACCAATAAATCCCCATCTATGACATTTGTAGTTTATTCTTTGTTGGCAAAGGTGTTACATATGATACTGGGGGTGCTGATATTAAAGCTGGCGGTCACATGCGCGGTTCGGACTTGTATTTCAAAATATTAATGTCCCCCATAAAGACATTTTAACCTTAACGAAAGTTATCTTTAGGAATGTCAAGAGACAAATGTGGCGCTGCGACTGTCGCTGGATTCTTGAAAACTGTATCCAAGTTACAACCTGTGCATGTTAATGTGACGGCAGCTTTGGCTTTAGTAAGAAATAGTGTGGGTTCTGATTCATACGTAAGTGATGAAGTTATTTATTCAAGGGCTGGCGTACGAGGTACGTATTGTTATTTTTATGTGTCTTTCACATTTTATTAATGTAGTAATTAATAAACTATTTTGCATAATAAAGTTCTTGTTGGTAATACCGACGCCGAAGGTCGTATGGTAATGGCAGATTTACTAACAGAATGCAAGGAACTGGCATTGAAAAATACAGCAGCTCCATCACGACTCTTTACGGTTGCCACTTTAACTGGACATGCTTTGCTTGCGTATGGAAATTACGGAGCGGTGATCGACAATGGGCCAGCACGTAAAGCAGGTATAAGTCAACGCGTTATCCAAGCAGGCCATATTTGGGGCGATCCATTTGAATTATCCACGTTACGTCGTGAAGATTATGAATTTATTAAGCCTCGTAGCAATCGTGAAGATGTGGTTCAAGCAAATGAAAGCTCTTCGATGCGAACCATACGAGGTCATCAATATCCCGCTGCCTTTTTGATCATTGCTTCTGGTTTGAAAGATCATGGGTTAAAAGCTCCCAAAGACAGACAAATTAGTTATAGTCATTTGGATATTGCGGGTAATTCTGAAACTCGGGGCAAAGGCTTGAGTCTTGGTACAGTAACGGGAAGTTCTGTAACAACTTTAGCTGGGGCTTTTTTGTAAATTAGAGTGATATTGATTTATTATCGTTATATTTATTTATATATGTAAATTCACGTGAAATAGAAAATAAAATAGAATTTACACTTGTTTAGTGAACTTAATAATAATTTATTGAAAGATGCAACAACCGCCTTCAAATCAACAGCAAACAAGTTCACCAACAGAGTTCTTGAATAATGTAATTGGGAGACCTGTACTTGTCAAATTGAACTCTGGTGTTGACTATCGAGGTCAGAACAAATAAGAGACCATGTATGAATTACAAAAAGCCGAGGAAATTATAGTTTTGTTATTCACAAACACGCGTATTTTTTGTATTTTTTTTGTCTTTACTGTTTTTTATACATTATGGAATTTAGCCACGAGAAAAGAATTCACGTTATTTTCTATTGATAAAATAATTGTCTTTTCCTTTAGGTATT